AAAAAAAAAAATATACATATATGTTTTTTTTTTTTATATATATATATATATATATATATATATATATATATATATATATATAATTTTTTAAAACTTATTTTAGAAGTAGACATTCAGTGGAGAATATGCACCAAAATGTAAAACATAGGCTATTTTTAGACTTAATTACTTTATTTTTTTTAGATAACATAAAATACTAAACAGTTTTGTGGTTTATTTTTCAGCATCCCCACACAATTTCAGAGTTCGCTAACAAATAACACAGTTCAGCAAGCTAGCACAAGTATTTGTGGCACTGTTGCTTATCTGGCACCATCAGGATCAACACAACATGTGAGCACTGCTGGAAGAATAAATAATGTAATGGCTGCATCTGTTGGTCACCAACAGCAGAATAAAATAGTTCAGATTGCACCCTCATTTCCAATGGCATCGGTGGGTTCATATAATCTTTCAATTCCAGTAAATTAATATGTGCTTGGAATTTTTTTAATAATAATTGATACCAATGATTCAGTGTATTTTGATCAATTGCAAATCTCTTATGTTACCTATATCAAGCACATTTTATATCCTAAGAGTTCATCATGTTTTAATGTTAAGTGTAATCTAGTGAAATTTTTATTCATATTCAAGCATTTCTGTTGTTAGGTTCCACTGCAGACTATTATTCAACCAAATCAGACTATCTATGGTGGTCAAAGTACTGGCTTGTTTCCAGCTCAAGGTTCTGTTCACATAGAGAACCCTAAGGTGGTCAATGTGAACTTTGGCCCTCATGTTATTGGCTCAGATGGAAGTGGGCAGCAAGCTATAATTCAGGTATGGTAATGGTTCTTCTTGATACTGTTATTTGCTTATCAAATGGCATAATAAATTAAAGCTTCTGTGATTGATATTGCTTCAGTTTTATAAAATTGAATTTGTTTTTCTTCCCAATAGACCGCTGAAGGTAAACGGGTTCTGATTACCAACTCCCAACTTCAACATATGTCTCAGGTAATTATTAGTTTTAACTTGTATTTTTTCTTGAATATTCTCACTTGCATTAATTAATTATTTTTACATCGATTTTATAAATACAATTAGAATCATCTTAGAGTCTTTTATTATTACATATAAAATAAATAAACTCTTAAATAGTAATCAGTTATTAAATATGTTTTTAATAAGTAGATAAGGCTTTGTAGCGGAAAAGCTGATTCCCCCTCCCCCAAAGCAGTAGGTGGACAATTAGTAACTTCTTTTAAAAAAATGTGTGTGTTTTTGTTAAACAAAAGTTGACAAATTTAGATAGTTAGATGCTAAACTCCAAGATTTTTTTGTACACATTCATTTTAAATAGTCATGATTCCTATATTGTCCTGATTACCCCTACCATGTTGAGTTAAACTTCATTTTTTTAAATTGCTTTTGTTAATTTTCAATTCGTTTCTACTAATTTGAAAATGCATGCAGTATCTTGTTCCCCAGTCCATCAGTCTCTCACAGCCACTCATGGGAACACAGCTGATAAATCCTTCAGGCGGGAGCGTCATTAGAGCCTTGGCCCCTGGGACTACAACTACAAGACAAATTGTTTTACCTTCAGGTCAGACTGTTATACCAAGGCAGACTGGCACCCAGCAAGCTGGACTGCCTAAAAATGTGGTACTAAGGCAGATAACACCTGGGATGTCACCAGTCATTGTGAGTAATGTCTGTATAACAGTTTTTTCATTTAAATATATTAACTATTGTCATCGAAACTGTATTTGAAAAATCATCACTATTATAAAATTTTCAAATATTTCTTTATAGTTTAGTAGTTTTTTTTTTTTTTTTGGAGGCCCCCCCCCCCCCCCCCCCCACTAGATGCACTGTTTCCATGCTGCAGCATAATAATTTAATGTAGATGTCTTGTGTTCTAATTGTTTTATTTATGTGATAGCTATTTTTATTTTGTATTTGTTTGTTATGATCATGAGTAGTTTAGGCATAAATCTTAATTCGACTTTTAATAATTTACACACACAAACATTGTGAAATAGTAAAAACACCCATAAAAAAAAAACAATTGTAACTGAAAATTAATTTGCATCATAAAAATATTTTGCAAAATAAGTTTGATTAAAATTTTATTTCTAAACCCATCTACAGTAAAGGTGAAGTTGTTCCCCTCTGGCTGGGGCTGCAAATGATACAATTTCTGAGTACCCAGGATTGTATTGGCTCATGTTTATCCCTACAGTTCCTTTTATTTTGGTTAACAATTTCATCTTCAACTATTCAAAACAGTACCATCAGAGTTCACAAGGTGGTCAGTTGATTCAGTCGCAGCCAACACTTATAACATCATCCAGCACAGGATTACAAGTGCTTAACACTGGTGGAAGTCAGGGCAATCAAGTACAGTTAATAGCTCAACCTTCTATTAATCAGTCAACTATGGGACAGCAGCAGGTAATTCTTTTTAATATATCTATTTATTTTATGTTGCCTATAGCAGAGCATTGGCAGGGATGCTATCACTGTTGACTTAAGATTTTTCAGTTTTTTATATTCAGGATCTAGATATTCTTTAAACCAAAAACTTTGTCTTTGTCACATATTTTTATGTTTTTAAATTCTACGATGAATACATACCAAAACTCATAAGAATTGCCTCTTTCAGTTTCAACATTATGAAATAGATTTTGCTTAAATTAAACAAATTAGATAATGAGCGACAATCCTGTCTTGTTTAAAAAACTAAACACACGGAAATCTCCTGGAGAAATATCTATTACCATTATATGAAATGCTTTCAGCACTAACGTGATTGGTAAAAAGTGAAATAAAAGGTACTCAAAATATTCAGGCAATTTTTACTCAAGAAAATGAGTGGAATTTTTTCAGCCTGCTTGGCTATAAATCTTTTTATAAACAATAAGTGGATTATTTAAGAAGCTTACATGAATAATGAAAATGCTTAACAAACAACACAACAAACATTTGAAAAGGGAGCCAGTGAACATGTTTACATTTTTTTGTTTCAGATCAACCAGAATACTATAATGAACTTTATTAACAACCAAAATGTGATTCCTAGTGGTGGAAACCAGATCACAGGACTTGTACCTGGACAGAATATTTTTGTCAACGGGCAAATGTTAAACCTAAGTCAGTTAGGTGGTTTGACAGTGTCTCAAGGTGGGGTCACCCTATCAAACATTAACACTGGCCGTTCAGCCCAATTCCAACCTACAACACAGCATTTGGTGATTCAACAAAATGGTCAACAACAACAAATAATGCTTCAGCCAAAGAACACCCCATCTCCGTCACTTATTACGAACACAACTTCAGCCCAGAGGTTAAACTCTAACATTCAGGGAGGAAAAATTGCACGGACTCCTACACCAAATACCAACTCTGCTTCCTCTACCCCTGTCGCTACTCCAACTCCGTCCACCCCTACACCCACCCCTACGCCAGATCTCATGTCAGACTACAGTGGGCAGGGAAGCAAGACAAGCAGTATCAATATCTTAGAGCAGGCTTTGGAGATGTCTGATATTGATTTACAGTCATTTGAGGATGATTTTAATTTCCTTGAAAATCCAACTATTACACCATCTGTAACACCTGCACTGCCAGTTAAATCTAAACCCCAACCTACCAGTAAACCCAAATCAAAAAGCTCAAAACCTAAATCAAAACCTCAGCCTATGGTTAGTGTTACAGTAAGTAATAACACATTATCATTTCAACAGTCCAAAGCTCAGTTACAAAACACCCAGGGACAAAAGCTCATTTCAAGTCCCCAACAAAAATTTATAACGGATGGTCAGGTTTATGTCCTTTCTGCTAATGGTCAGCAGCTTATTCTTCAGTCATCTGCTAATTCAGCAAATGCTTCATCATCACAGCAAGTGAAGAATATTAGCTCTCACATTTCTACAACTGCTAACTCTGCCATAACAAATATCAGTATTCCCTCCAATGGTCAGCTGCAATTCAAAGGACAAACACAGCAGCTGGTAAATCAGAGTAATTTAAATTTAAACACAAATGTTAGTGGTCAGTTGAAATTTAACTCCCAGACTATTCCTCTGTCGGTGCAATCAAACAATACATTCTCCAATGCGAACTCGCAGGCAGATAATAGAATATACATTAAGACTGGTCAAGATGGATCTAGTGCACTAACAATTCAATCTTCATCACAGTCAGTGACAGCAGCTCAGTTAGTATTTACATCCTCTCCAACATACACTTACTCTCCTGGTAGTGTTGCACAGTCCACCATGTCTCAACAAGTGGCCAGTCCTAATCAGATGCATTCTGTGCAGGTTAAAAATCAAAAGATCACAACTTTAAGTGGGACTTTCATTAAACAAGAACCTCTGGCTGTGGCAATTAAGCAAGAACCATCCACAGAGTTGCAGTCAACGATTCCTTTGTCTCAGACTCCACAGTGCTTTTCTATTTCTCCACAGACCTCAGTCACAGTGACTACCTCAAACACATTGGCTATGACAATGCCACCAGTTGTTTCTTCTTTTGCAGCCATTACCACCTCTACTACTCAGTCTCATCAATCTACTATAATGACCACCGCTCAGATGGCAGGCACTTTGCCAACATCTGTTACCTCGATAAATACGCAACTTCCACATTCATCTATAAGTGACTCTTCAGCAGTCTTAGCAAGTGCCATGATAAACCAGGCATTGCCTAGTCCAACTCTTCTAACTCCAACAACTCCAACAGGCACCAGATCAGGATCGGTAAGTTAATTTCAATTATTTCTTAAGTATGAATCATTGCGACTTGATAATTTAATTTTTCCATAATTTAATTTTTCCTCATGTCCATTAAAAATTATTTTATGAAATTTACAATTAGAAATTTATCATAAATTTCAATCGTGATCGAGTCAGGATGATCATGTGTGTCTAGAACTGCTCACAGAAAGAAGTTGTCTACATTAATAAAATATATTACTAATGAAGTATACATAGTTCCAAGCAATGTTATTATTTTGTAACTGAGATTTTTTTAGTAACCTAAAACAGACTTGTTTACTCTTATGATTTTGGCATACAATGTACGATTTTGTGATGTTTTTTACGATTGTATACTGAGACCCATCAGAACTACGATTTTAAGAGACCAGGTTCAGACCTGTTTACTCTTACGATTTTGGCGTACAATGTACGATTTTTAGATGTCTTTTACGATTGTACGCCGAGACCCGCCAAAACTACGATTTTCAGAGACCCACCCGGTGAACAAATATTTGTGTCATTTTGTCCGATTTAAACAAATATTAAAAATGTTCGGTTGTGGAAGCTTTAGCCCTTATGGCCCCGCATTGAATGGACCCAGAAAACAACGATGGGTTTTTGTATATTTTTTTTATATTTGGACCATCCTTCATTATATTTATGTACGCACTGAAAGGGGAGGTGGTGGTTGTTGATTAAAGAGATTGGTGGCATACCAGAAACACGGGTTGGGGGGGGGG